GGATCAAAAACGGATGCTCTCACATCGGGATTCGGTGGACATTGTGCCCGTAGGGGCAGTCAATGAACAAACGGGATTCATGATTCGGGTATCTCGGATTAGCCCGTTCCCATTCAGTGTCGTGTCCATGTCTCAGACATCTTGACCGCCTGTTATAAGCCTCAGCTTATGGTGAGCACAACAGAGTGGCGAGGCTATAGTCGCGCTCTCCCGAGCCGCCCTCTCCATTTGCCTGGTGTGGTTCGTCGTGCGCAACCCGTACTTTTGGAAGCATTGCGTTCGTTCTTCATGGCTGACCGAAAGGCTGCCAGAAGCCGAGCCCAGGGCAGTCGTAGGATGAAGTGTCCTTCTCGGCGCTAGCCTATGACCTCTGAAGAGCCTGAACATTGAACGCCCCTTGTTCTCTTCTCGCGGATATGGTCAGCATGTTCTGTCTGGATTGGAAGGAGACCTTCCTGAATGCCACGTCAAGCTCTAGGCACGGAGCCGATTGTACGGGATCTCGGAAGACAAACGAGCCATGAGATATGAGCTTTGGGGTCTATGTTTGCGTGTGTTGTACGAAAGGTAAGCTCTAAGACTTGCGGAGTAGATGCGATGTTGTTCTTGTCGTGACTCTCTGCCGACTTGAGATACCGCTCGATTTCCAATCAGTATGGTGTCTATCAACGTAGACCTCCTTATTTTAGGGGGCTTTTTTTCCATGTCGAGAGACTCCTCGATCGATTGAGTTCTATGTACGCCAGTCAAGGACGCTTAGCCACGATTATAGCAGTCTGTGGCTGCAATATCGGCCTCGCAAAGAACTCAGCCTAGGGAGGTAACTCTCTCTTCATGATAACAGCCTCTAGATCAGCATTTCCGGTCGCAAGTCTTCTTCTCGGTCTTTACAAGAGGGATAAGGAGATATGGGCTGCAGCCATTCAACTCAATAGTCCACTGAGTGTATGCGCTGATAACCGCCCATGCTAACATATATACTTTTCCTATACTGACAGCGGGCATTGCGTCTGCGAGTGATCATCCCTGCTTTGAGTTGGTTCTTAATCTAAATCGCAAACTCTCGGCTCCTTGCTACCAGTAGTGGAAAGTGTAATGACGGGCATTCAATGCTTTGTTGGAAGAGACAGTACAGGCTGGCCCAGTGTGCTTTTCATTGTCAGACATTAATTTTTGAGGAGATATAGCTCCGAGCATCAGTCGGTCAAAGTAGGCTGCCACGTCTCTTCTTCAGTTTTTAGGTTGCGTCGGAGGATGTATGTATGTGTTCGCTGCGAACTGTCAACTTTCACTCAATTTTTGCTTGGTAGGCCAGCATGTGAAGTCATAATTAGCTACTTGATCCCCCGGGTTATAGACTGGGGTTATTTGGGAGGACTCAATGCAATAGGATATGACCACGTTCCTCAAATTCTCATCCAAGCTCAGCTCTGGTATATGTTGTTGCGATGGATGATATCGAGTTCTTCCTAAATGCTGTATGCAAGTGAGAACCACACTCTATAGACGCTACTGACTCGCCTGTTACTGTGTCTGACACCAAGAGCCTGATCTTCAGACGAGGATAAATAGAAATCCTGGACCTACATTGCCAGAATGCCTTCTACCATTTATACAATCACATGACTGCGGACTAACTTTGTTCCGCTGCCATTTTCTCCCATCACTGGTCTCCATCAGCATGTATACACTCCTCTCCATCCCCTCTGCCAGCTCATTTCGAGCCTCGACCCCATTTGTACCACTCGGCCATCCCAAGTCGGTGGGCTGCCGCTTCGTGGATGGCAATTGGTCCTCAGATCACACTTATCGCCGTCTAAGCCGAGACCTCACGTGCGTGGGAGTGTACCGGGAGTCGGATAATCTGGCCGCTTGTGAAGGTCAATATACAATTACATCACCTTCTCTGACACGGATCGAAACATTACCAAAACATTCGCGATCCTGAGCACTTCTATCCACGGGCTTTGCATGGTGTACTGCATTCCGTCCTCACCGCACGGTTATATGACCAGATTTCCTTGGAAACCGACATCTGATATGACTGCTCTCGTTTCGTGCTAGCATTTCTGTCTTAACGCACTTATCGCATACATTCACCATTCGTGCATTCTGCGCCAAGTCCCATTATACCGTAACCGCATCATGACAGTCATCATGGCTTTGCAGGGATCTATACGGGCCTCTAGGCAACTCCCCCGCTTGCCTTGCGTGCTCCCATTCCCGTCTCTCGGACATGGCTCCGTGCCCAGGAAAGGATCGCAGACGCTGCAAGTAGCTGGAGCGCGTAGCTTCTCGGCCCTCGCGCCAGGCTGTCGCTCGCCGTTGACTCAGGCAAGGTGCGATTTTGTTTCCTACTTCAGCCGGAAGTCGAGTTCTAAACCCATGTCTAGCTTACGAATGAAGAGAAGTAGTAATCTCTGTACAAAGGAGTCGTCGCAGTGGGCACGGTTCACTGTCCAGCAGAAAAGGTGGTCGGCGCAGAAGTCGACCGACCCGAAAGAGACCCAAAAGTAGGTTTCTCTCCTGGCTTGAATCATCTCCCATTTGGGGAGGGGGGGGCGATACCGATGACCTGTGTCTCGTGGAATCCTGACATAAACACAGCACTGAGCCCAAGTCCAAAACTGCGGCTATTCTGTCTAAGATCCCTAGACCCACCACCCACGAGAACATCTACACTGTTCCCAACATCCTCACTCTCACCCGTTTAGTTGCGGCTCCTTTGGTAGGATACTTCCTCGTGCAAGGCCACCACACGGCTGCATTGGGTCTGTTCGCATACGCCGGCATCACGGATCTTGTGGATGGCTGGATTGCACGCCGATGGAACCTGCAGACGGTCGTCGGGACGATCATCGATCCCATGGCTGACAAACTACTGATGACGATCGGTGTCGCTTGTTTGGCTGTCAATGGATCTATTCCTGGTAAGCCATCGTTTGCGGTTGACGATCCACTATAACCAGTCGTGAGGCAGGAAAGCTGACATGTTTCTATGACAGTCTGGCTCGCCGCCATTATCCTCGGCCGTGACGTGGGCCTGGCGCTCTCGGCCATCTACTACCGATGGATCTCTCTTCCTCCGCCCAAGACCATGGCCCGGTACTGGGATTTTTCTCTCCCCTCTGCCGAGGTCAAACCCACGACAGTCTCCAAGGTCAACACTGCGTTGCAGCTTCTCCTCGTGGGTAGTGCAATCGGGATGCCCGTGCTTCCAGAGACGGTGATTGATGCGTGGCATTTGAAGGAAGCCATGACCGCATTTCAGTGAGTGCCACTCTTCTCGTTATATTTTTGTTGTTGGTTGTGTTTTGTTGTGTGGTGCGGCATAAGAACGGTACTTGGAGAGTGTTCAACACATACGACCACAGGGTGTGGAAAATAGGGCTTCCCGTCCGCTCAGCCGTACTCAAGCCACACGCCGGGAGGTTAGTAGTTGGGTGGGTGACCACCAGCGAATCCCTTCTGTTGTATGTTTTTTGAGTCACTCTTTTTTTTTTTTTTTAAAAAAATTCTTAGTCGCTATTCTCACTGGAAAGGTACATGCTGACAAAGACAGATATCTCGTTGCCGGAACCACGATCTGGTCCGGTCTCAGCTACGTGTTTTCCAAGGACGCCGTCAAGATCTTGACGAAAGAGGAGGTCCAGAAGCGCATTGCTCGAGCTGCGGGGAAGAAGTAAATGGGGGAATATATAGTGGTGAGTTGATGTATGTACATAGGTCGCATACTTTGATCGGGGCTTGCATCTGAGCATATGTCGTTTGAAGTTTCAATGCATGTTAGACACCATATGGACTTACTATAAACTCCCAGAAGTAGTATGCTATCCTTATAGTTATGAGTACTGAGTAGAAACCAGCTGATGTGCTCTGCTGATGTAATGGCGACATCTGGAAGCCGACGCAAGATTTTCCCACGGACCAATAGTAGGGCGGGGAATCAGCAGCAGCACCGGCGCATTTCCATCGGAGGTCTGAACTCTGACCTTCCCCGCCGGCCGGCAACTTAGTTGAGTACTTGATCAACTTAACCTCCAACCCTCTTCATCTTTCATTCAACGTCAACTTCAGCTTCTTTACAGACTCCCCCCTTTCCAAAACACCAAAATGAAAGCCTACTGGTACGACAACAAGCCGGTAAGCAGTGCCATCCCCTCCCGTCCTCAAACCAACAGCCCCCCTCCCCCTCTACCCCTCTACCCCTCAACCCTCCAAACCAAAACTAACCCAAGAAAAAAGGGCGACCAACGCCTCCCCCACGACAGCGCCCGCCCGGTCACCGAATCCTACCTCGCCACCCTAGGGGTGATTTACCACCACCTGCCCTCGCTGGCGGACGTGGACGCCCTGGCGGCCGCGCGGGGCTACAAGAACCGGGACGAGATCACGGTGTCGCCGACGACGATGGGCGACGCGTACGAGGCCAAAGTCAAGAGCTTCTTCCACGAGCACCTGCACGAGGACGAGGAGATCCGGTACATCCGCGACGGCCGCGGGTACTTCGATGTCCGCGGCCAGGAGGACGAGTGGGTGCGCATCCAGCTCGAGAAGGATGATCTGATCATCCTGCCCGCCGGGATTTATCATCGGTTTACGGTGGATGAGGGCGATGTATGTTCTTTTTCTTCCCTTGGAGGCTTTGAAGGGGGGGGGGAACGGGGCTGGAAAGGGTTGGGGCTGGGCTAACGTTGTTTTTTTTTTCTGACTACAGTATATCAAGGCGATGCGGTTGTTTCAGGAGGAACCGAAGTGGACGCCGTTGAATCGGAGTGAGGAGTTGGATGGGAATCCGCATCGGGTTGGGTATTTGGGGTCCCTGGGGAAGGCGGCTGTTGCTGCGGTTTGAGGGGGTTGATTCCGGGTAAGATGGGTGGTGGATCGATGGGTGGTTGGCATTTTGGGTAATGGGTGGGTGGAGAGCAGCAGCAGCAGCAGCAGGAGGAGGTATGGGATGCGGTGGGATGTATATAGAATAGGCACATGAAATTATGACACCCAAGTTGATTCTTATTCTTCTCATTGTTATCTTTTAAGTCATCACTCGCTAAATGCGATTGTTCCCTAGAGGATAGACAGCATCGTTATCCTGAGGTCGAGTCGATCGTCAACTACTAAATACACCAAACTATTGCCCCCCCAATGACCCTGGCATGTGCAGATCACTCAACCCCCCCGAACTCTCCTCCCGCACCATACTCGGCGGCCGCAGGTCCCCCGTCTCCACGTTGTAGCTGGAAGTCCGCGACACGCTGTCGAACTGCGGCCGCGACGCCAGCCCACCCCGGAACCGCAGTCCCTCCGTCTCATGCGCACTCAAGTGATCCGACATGGCGCAGGCGCCGCCGCCGCCGCCCCCTCCGCGGGACGCGCCGTTCGACGCCGTCTCGGCCTCCTCGCCCGTCCGGACCCCCGTTCGGCCCATGCGCGGCCACAGATCCGGCAGCCCCACCACCTGCACCCGGGGCTCGACCACGCGCTCCTCGAACCACGCATGCACCCGGGCCTCCACCAGCTGAGCGACCTTGGGGACATCCTGGAGACGACTCCGGGAGCCGATCAGCGACCGGACCGACAGATCGAGACGGTAGTCCGGGAGGAAGGAGAAGGCCACGTTGCTTTTCGGGGTGCCCGTCTTCGGAAGGGACGAGGCATCGGCTCCCTCCTCCTCAACGGCGACGGAAGGCGGTGGAGCACCTTCCCCGGAAGGGTTCTTGGTTCCATCGGCCGTGGGCGGCGACGGGGACGGGGTGGGAGTATGGAGAGGTTCCGTGGAGGCGGGGACCAGCGAGATGCACAGAGTGCCCGAGAAGCGAACCACCGAGACCGAAAGTGCCACCGGCAGGATGGCGGAGCAGGGCTTGGGGTAGTTGAGCAACAGCGACGTTTCGACCGCGATGGAGAGGTTGTCGTCGCTCAGGTCGACGTCCATCAGCGCCTGCAGGCGGCCGCCGTCGGAGTTCGGGTCATCGACCGCGATGATGCGGCAGTTGCTGAAGATCGGGAACTCCTCCCCAAGGGAGATGTCCGTCACCGCGATCTTGTCGATGAACGAGGGCTTCTTCTCCGGGTTGTTCAGGGCGGCGTTGAGCGAGCTCAGGATCGAGGAGGTCGGCGAGTCCTTCAGCAGGTATGCCGTCTGTCGGTACTGCGCGATCGTCTGCGCGATCAGCACGTTGAACCAGTCCAGGGACTCGGGCTGGTGGGAGGAGTGGTGGATCCGGTGCCGGCCATGCTTGGAGGTGAGGTTCGGGGGGATGGAACTGTAGTAGGTTTTGCGGAGGATCGACTGCGTGTTGGTCGACGAGGAAGGGACCGGGCGGAGGACGTTCGAATTCGACGGTTTCTCCCGGAGCGATCGCGAGTTGGTCGAGTTGGTCTCATTCGGGCCAAGGTTGTAGATCGAATTCGACCGCCGGTGGGTGGAGGTTCGGTGCGAGAGCCCGCGCGAGGGTGGTGGTGGTGCTTCGCCGAAAATGAAGAATTTGATGAAGGCGCCGATCAGTAAGACCACGGATAACTGCCCGAGCAAGAATCCCTGTGTGAAAGATAGGCTAGATACCTGTTAGCCTTTAGTCCTCCCTTCCTTGAGCCACTACGACCACCGGCGGGCAGGCTATATTAATATGAGAGTAGTGACGTACGAGGATTGCGCCGGGACGGGCTCGGCTGGTTTCACATCGAAGGTCAGTCAGACAGCTCAAGGACAACCCAGGAAGACAGGCCAAAAACACACACCTTGTTGGTAACACATCATTAGAGCACACTGTCGCCTTTGAGATGCTACCCATTAGCCATTGCCACTGCTGCTGGGAACTTGAAGCTAAGCTAAGAGGCGAACGGCAAGTGGGCGGCGGCGCCGTCGAGATTCCGCCTCCGATGCGCGCTAAGCCGATTAGATTCTTTGTCTGTCTGGTCACTCACTCTCTTCCATTTATCAGATCGGAGTCACCCTCCGTTAGTAACTAGTTATTTTTTATCATTATTACTGTTCCATGGAAGCTTTCATCTGCTGGAAAGGACATGTTGTGCATTGACTAGGTTGCACAATAAATTCAGCCACAAGCTGGAGATCAGCTTCAGACCACTCCTTCATTCACTCACTATTTGCTGACACGGTTGCTCTCATATGATGCCTCTTGACTGAAAAATCCACCGCAGATTCCAAGAATTCTCATCCCGCATTCTTCAACTGACTCTCGAGCTCGAGACCAACAATCACATCCATCATGCGCCACTCTCGCCTATTACAGTTCCTCTTCCTTCTCCTCTCACAGCCGCTCCTATCATATGGCCGATCACAGCAACCACCAGGCAGAGATGCCATCCTCCTCTCCCGCGTCCACTCACTCACTCTGCGCGCAAATCGCCTAACCACCTCTCGGCGAGTCTCGCCCATCCCTCAGTTGAAATGCATCGGTCCCTCCAAGCGCATCTGCAACCTATACCCCATCGATACGATGCGATGCACTAACGAAGGCTACGACTACGACGATGAGGACATCCAGTGGACGTGCACTGCCTCGCTCCCACCGGAGTTCAAGCTTGGATCAACCGACGTAGTGTGCGAGGGTTATAGGGACGCTGATGATAAATGGGTCTTGAAGGGAAGCTGCGGTGTTGAATATCGCTTGTTACTGACGGAGGTGGGAGATGAGCGGTTCGGCTCAGGAAGGCAGGATAGCGATTTCTGGCCGGCGGACGTCGACCTAGACCTATCTGGCTGGAGGGGCGTGTTTTCAACACTGGGAAATCTGATTTTCTTCGGATTTATGATGGCGTGTTTCTTCCTGATAATGCTGCCCATGCTGAGAGATTGTTTTGGCCTACGCGGAGGTCGACGGGCTGGAGGGCTCGGTCGCGGCTGGGGTGGATGGGGAGGAGGAGGAGGTGGTGGTGGTGGTGGCGGCGGCGGCCCCTACCCTCGTGATCCTCCCCCTCCCTATACCAGTTCCAGTTGTCCGGATCCTGCTCCTGCCTCTGAACCATGGAGACCCGGGTTTTGGACAGGTGCTTTGGGCGGCGCTGCGGCTGGCTATGGCCTGGGAAGCAGAAACCGTCGTCGCACCACAACTTTCAGGCAAAGGCGCACTCCATCTTTCACGAGATGGGACGACCCCGGCGAAGGTAGCTCAGGGTCGCGCTCGCGCTCGCCGCAGTTTTCAAGTACGTCCACAAGTACTGGGTTTGGCTCGACTAGACGCCGTTGAAGGGTGGGGGATTGGCGTGGAGAAAGTGGGTGGGCTGTGACTCTGATTCGGATGACTTGGTGCTAGTTCATGGAGTAAACAAGTCTTCTAAATGAAGGAGCCACATGGCGGTTGTATTGATGCCTAGATTAGGGTAAGCATAGGTATCCAAGGGGAAACCCCTCAGGAAATACCTCGAAAATCAGACACCTCCGGTACCTGCTTTCCCAGCTTCCTTCATCGTAACACGAAGCACATAACGCCTGTATGTTGCCGCATCTATAGGAACTCCGCCAGAATAATGCACCGCATGCATGGCATGGAACCTCAAGGCACGTCGTCGATCGTGCCCAATACCTCCTCTGTTCCACCGGCCATAGCTTTCATCGCCTGCCTCCGGCTGGGTCGTTTGAACTTAGCAGGCATATCACCATTTTGACCAGCTCCTTCAGCCGCACCATCCGGATTGCGAAGCAGTGCTTCTTGAGCCTCCTTCTCTTTGGCATGCTGTTCCTCCATCTGTTTCCGTTCTTCGTCTAGTTGTTGTTGTATGACTTTGGGATCATCATACACCGTGTTGGTCATTTGGGAATAGGTATTGATGTCAATACTCTCCCGTGGACCGAGAAGGGTATCCTTGATGCGCAAGGGGTCGCGGCGCTCTTCATTGTTAAACTTTAACTTGATCTGCCGCCTGCTTCTCCCCGGAAAAAGTTTGCTGATCATCATGAAATCGGTGCCGAAGATACGCAACCCTCGATAAAATAAATCCGTCATTTCCTCATCCCAGGACTCGGTTTTGGAACGTTTTCCGTAAGTAGACTGGTTGATCTTCCGAGTGAGTGTGTTTTCCACGACGTCCTCCAGCGCGCCAGCATTTCGTGCGGCATCCGCATGGCGGTCAACTTGCAAGGAAGCAGTATCGAGCACGATTTCTCCGTTCACAATGCGCATCACCGGTCCAGCTTGAGATTTGTTGTCAAGCATGCTGTTTCCTTCAATTGCTGGCGTGGCCTCATTTCCATTGGCCTTGACTGGAACCTCAGTGTCTCCTTCTTGCTGTGCGCGCTGTTTGCGCTCTTGCTCAGCTTGATCAAGGATACGAAGTTCAGTTTCTCTCTTAGAAAGTTTTCCGGTTCGGAGGTCCTTGCATAATTCCGACATTTTAATGAGACCAGGGGCGATCTCGACATTCTCGGAACCCTCAGGAGTCGGCTCGCGCTTCTTCCGCGTACGAGTCTTTCTTTCTTTCTTCTTGCCCGTCGCATTCTCACCATTCCCTTCCTTGACAGATTTCCTTCGCACCTTAACCACTTTTCGCGGCTGCGTAGTAGGGGCGGGCGTCTGCGACTCTGTTTCTGTCTGACTTTCTGTCGGTTCTTGAGTGTCTATAGCGGTGGCTTGAGAAGCGGGAGGCGTTGGAAGAGGAAACTCGGTCACTGGGGGTTCTGTAGGAGCGGTAGGAGGTGGGATAGAGGCCTTAGCCACCGAATTGGTCCTGGGTCGTTTGGTAGGGCGAATTTCGATAGCGACATCTGCGGGACGGCGCACGCGACTTTGTGGAGCAGCGGCCTCTTCAGCACGGCGCTCTACCACGTGCGTTGGGCTGACGTCCCTACTGCTATCGGCGCGCGTTGTCGAGGGTTCATTGATTGAAGATTGAGGCGCAAGTTCGGTAGGTGCGGTACTAGGCGGGGTGGGTTGAGAAGGTGGTGATACTACTTCTGCGATCTTGGGAGGCGCTGCCGAGACAGAAGGCTTCCGTTTCGGTTGGGGTATTGCGATCGCGGTCGCAGACAACGAGGGTCGGATTTTCTTCTTTGGGGCCGCGTCTGGTGTTTCGATGGTGATTGTGTCAACGGCAGCTGTCTGTTGGACAGAGGTGGTAGAAGGGCCTGGCTCAGGTGTGGCTGTCGCGGTCGCTGGCTGCGGTGTCTGGGAAGCAGACGGTTGCGACGCAACACTGGGCCGCCGTGGTGGAGGGGGAGCTGGGGCGCGTCGGGCGGGCGCCTTGGGAGCAAACTTCTTGCCCGACTTATCTAGCGAAGCAAGAAAGATTAGATACGAGTCACAGTGGGAATCGGAATCCGAGGGAGGAGAAGGAAAAAGAAAACTTACTGATGACCGAGCTGGAAAAAGACTTCATCCCGAATAACAATTCTGATCAAATTAGGTCATCGCCAATATGTATTCGCTGGTAAGAAAGTCGATTTAATGAGGGAGTATTTGCGTGAATGACCAAAGGGGCACAAATGAGAGTGAATGATAGATGAGAGTTGAGTCGAGTTGAGTCGAGTCTAGATGCCCAGATCTGCTGAACACCCGGGGAAAGTGGACGGGGTCACGTGGGAGGCGCTAGAAACGCAAACTCCCAGGCCGAAAATCCTCCTGGCTTTCCTCAAGTCTTGCTTATCTCAACCTTCTTTACACATAAACCCCCAAACCCCATCCAGCACATACCCTCTTCCCCCCCCCTCACCCCCTCTCTATTCACTCACTCTACTCATCACCACACCACCCTCATCACCATATCTTCTACGGTCGGATTTTCTTGCGGTCTCGGCTTTCGGCTCGTTGCTGCTCAGTGGTGACGGCCTCTAATTCACTTATGCCTCTGTAGCCACTGATGCCGGCCGCCGAAGCATCCCCCGTCGCATCTTCCGATTCCGGTTTTGTCACGATGGAAGACCGGAAAAGAGCCGCTGCTTATGACCACAACGACTCGACTCCACCATTGAAGAAGCAGGCGACTTCTGTCAATGGTGGTAGCAAGCCGCACCCCGATGCTGACATGCCCTGGAAGGATGATCTCGAGGTGAGTGCCACGAATAGCCCACGTGGGTGTCAACTTACCCCAAGGGTTACCCTAGAAACCCTTCCCAACGCCAAAGTCGACTGGACCGTGGACTCAACCTGGCGAGATACTGACGTCTCTTCGTCGCAGCGATTCCAAAAAGACGCAATATGGCGCCAGATGCAGGAGTACAAGCGGGAGAAGGTGTCCCTTGAGGCCAAGTTGAAAGAGTTATCCAAGTCGACCACCAACCATAATGATCACCTACGTATTATCGATGCCTGGTACAAACAAGTGAGTAGATCTCCGTATTTTGCTCGCTCTGTGTGCAAGGCTGATGCTCGTCAAGTTGATCGATGAGGTTAAAATACTCATGGGCGCTCCGGAAGAAGATGCCAAGGGTGGGTCCGCCGTGAGGCCCCCAGTTGCTCTACAACCAGCCACTAATTCTTCCACAGAACCCTCGTCTTTCCAAAGCAGTCTCTTGTTTGACGATAATGAGAAATTTGAGAAACATCTTAAATCTCGGTCGGAGGATATCCGGAAAATAATTTCGAGCGTCTCGTCTAAATCGGCGAAAGTCTCGCCCGAGGTCTCAGAGTTGCAGACCCAACTCGCAAAGAAACTTGCGGAAGAGAAGGCCACTATCAGCGATCTCGAGAAGGCGTTGGCGGAAAAGCAGCAGCTAGAGGAGAGTTTGGAGGAGGCATCTCTACGTTACATGGTCGCCGAGAAGAAACTTGATCGTGCACGGAGCGTCACTGTCGCCAAACTCGAAAAGCAGTATATACTGGGTGCCCAGCGGCCCGGGGGTGATAGTGCATCTGGACAGCGGGACGAACCGTCAGCCTCGAATGGCGCAACTCCAAGTGGTGAACGAAGCCCTGCGTTGGACGAAGCCCACAACAAACTCGCGGCCATCTCGGAAAGGCAAAAGGAACAGCTCCAGAAATTGGAGGCCGAGAACGCCAAATTGTTAAGCCAAATCACTGACTTGAATATCAAGGTATGCTCCTTGCGCATGTTCTCTCAGCCGGGAAGCACTAACATAGGCGTAGCATACACGATTGACGGATGATGATTATGCAAGCACAGACCTGTTCAAACAGTTGAGATCTCAATACGACGATGTTGTCACTCGAATAAACCATTTAGAGGCGACTAATGTACAGCTTCGTGAAGAAGCGGCGAAACTACGGTCGGAACGAACTGCATACCGCAATCAGGTTGACGAGGAGACGCAGAGTGTAATTGCCGAGAGGGAAGCGCAACTGATGCGGGCTGAGACGGATTTGGCACGGATACGGAATGCGCGCGACGAATTATTGGCGGATCAACAGATGCGAAAGGCTGCGCAGGAGCAGGAGAAAACCACGGCCATCAAAGTCCAGGAACTCGCAGATGCAGGCCAAGCTCGAATCGCAGCCCTGGAATCCGAGGTGGAGCGCTTGCGTGTCGAAGTTGAGAAGGAGAAGGCCGCCGCACCGAGTGTCGATGAAATCTCAACCGAAGAGTTGCGTACTCGATTCCGCAACCTAGAGCGCCAATACGCGATGCTCAACACCGAATTATCCTCGATGCAAATTGCTTGCAAAAAGTACTCGTCTCTGGCTTCGCAGAAAGTCACCGATTTCGGCGCTCTGGAGGAGAAGGTCGCACGACTCATTGCGGAGAAGTCCAAAGCAGATCAAAAATACTTCGCTGCAATGAAAAGCAAGGAAGCTCGGGAGTTGGAGGTTCGCACTTTGCGTATGCAGAACTCCAAGAGTTCGGACATTGTCACGCAGCTGAAGGAATCGGAAGCTGCAACTCGAAATTTGCTTGCGAACATGGAAAAGCAAGTGAGTGAGACCAAGGAAGCATTGAATAGCTTGATTGCCAAGAACCACGCCGCGCAACAACAAATCACGGAAAACAATATCACAATCGAGGGTCTGAACAGGCAAGTGGCGGATCTCAAGGTGTTGTCCGCATCCAAAGATTCGACACTTTCCAGTACAGCCAGTGCTTGTCGTAAAGCCGAAACGGAAGTCGAGGGCTTGAAGGCTACCCTGGCGGACACGAAGAAGAGTCTAGACAGCTGGAAGAACAAGAGTCTTGGCAACCAGTCATCTGAATATGAGATGCTGCGGGTCAGTACCACGTCTTATCATTGCAAAAAGTTTCCATTGCTAACAATTCTGTAGACGCTTGCTCTCTGTACAGTTTGTCGCCGGAATTTCAAAAATACTGCGATCAAGACTTGCGGCCACGTCTTCTGCAAGGATTGTGTCGAAGAACGTCTTACCTCGCGGTCACGCAAGTGCCCTAACTGCAACAAGTCCTTCGGCAACAACGACTACATGCATATCACTCTGTGATCTGATGTCACCTCTCCGTTTATAAATCTCTTGTATCATAGTCTCTCTACCTTTCCCCTTTCCCCTTCCCTATTATCCTTCCGACTTGCCATTTTGCCGTTCTTTCTCCCGATTTTTCTTTTTATGTCCGTTTTATTACCCTTTTCCTTTCTTTTTTTCTTTTTTCTCTTTCTACCCCATATCTTTCTCTAATTATGGAAAAAGGCTCATGGTGCGGTGTTTTACTGTGTGTTTAGCAGGATAGGATTCTCAAGAAGGCCGGCGTTCGATTCAGATCTGTTCCTTTTTGATCAGATATCTTCTTTGCATATTGGCCGGGTTGTTGGTCTTCGGGTTACCGGTTTGATTCCATTTTCCTTTTTTCTGTTCGTTTTATTCGATTCCATGTTTGTGTTTCGAGGCGTCCTCCTTGGATACCCACGTGAAGTTGAGATGAGGTATGCAGCTCACATGTAGGATTAACTTTAGAAAAGATAACTATATTGATGAAAGAGACCGAACAAAGATGCTGAACGCAGCCCAGATTTATCCAATGCTCAAAAAGAAAAATTCCGCCATTACCCAGACTCTTGCGCTGACCTGCCATGAAATTACAAAACGACCAATGCCCCTACTCCAAAATAACGAATGACTCCAGAAAAATGCAAATATGCTTGGTGCGGTTGGTGGTGGGTGTGATCAGGAATTGAAGATCCGACTGTACAGCAGCTCGTGTCTGCCCACCCACAGATCCAACGGCGGTACGATCTGCCCGGCGTCCTCGACGGGGGTATCCCATTCCTTGTCGATGCGTTCGGTGATCATGTCCTGCAGACGCCGACTGGCCAGCACGCTCTGCGCCTGATACGGGCCCATGACCGAGGCCCGCACCGCCGCACTCAGCACCGCCTTGGCGTGGTTCACCATGAACACATACGCCGTCTGGCGGGCATCCATGCCCATGGCCGAGCACACGACCCCCCACAGCGGCGCCAGATGGCCCTTGGGCCCCAGCTCGTCCGCCGTATCGCCGCACAGCTTCAACGCGTCCGAGAAATCGGAGATGGCCTGCACCGCGGCCGCCGCGGCGGGGGTGAGGGTTGTTGTTGTTGTTGTTGTTGTTGTTGTTGTTGTTGTTGTTGTTGTGTAGGAGGCCCGGAACGCGCGCTCCCAGACCCCGATCAACGCCCGGCCCTGGGCGACGCTCGCGCGCTGCGCCACGATGCAGGGCGTCGAGGCGTCCATGTCGTTGTCCAGCGTCTCCAGCTCCTCCGGGTTCCGGTATGCGGCCAGCACGTAAGGGATGGAGGTGCTGGCCATCGAGGCGATCGAGAGCTTCAGGAAGCGATGGAACGAGGCCACGGGGGTGACAGTGCGGGGGAGCGGTTTGTTGTGGGCTAGGTAGGATTCCAGACCGCTGGAGTAGGCGAAGGAGCCCAGCGGGAGGGCGGAGTCGGAGAGGAGAAGAAGCGCGTGCGAAATCGGGATTGAGGGTGGTGGTGGTACTGCTGCTGTGCTGTCTGTGTGGTTTGGTGAATCAGGAGGGGTTCACGTTTTGTAGATGGGGGTATGTATGTATGTACATACCCTTGGTGGGAGTCGTGTCATAGTCGGAGTCGCCATCATCGTGGTGGTGGTGGTGGTGGTGGTTATTGTACGGCGGTAGCGGTGTGGAAGGGGAGGACGATGCCAATGCTAGACGTTTCCGAGCATGTTGTAGACGGGACTCGAGATCGATGATCTCCTGCTCTAGGTCTCGAGTGGTGATTTTGACGGCCATTTGGGGGGTGTTCGGCAAGCTATCCAAGGTAGGGGAGGAGGTTTCTTGGGGAGGGAGAGCAACAATTGACAATTCATGATGCCCGGCAAGGGGGGAGTGGCGCTTTGTTATATCTACCTCTTTCAAGGCGAAATCCCCTTCCCCGCCAGCTGCGCCATCTTTTTTTTGCTCAAATTCCCCTTATCGGTTGAAGTGCCGATAACGGGTCCCATCGGACTCGGAGCTGACCGGGAGGAAAGTCGAGATAAATCAAGTAAACAAGATACGTAAGAAGCCAAGTTTCTCCGCGGTGAGCCCCGGCAGAAAAAGCATCCCGGTCGCGGGCGGGAATTACAGCCCATGCGATTTCCACCAATGCGTTCATCTATTCCGGATTTAACTTACCGGTTTCTGGATAGATTATCGCTCTCCATCTGATCGAATCATGCGCACAGAATAAGCCTGGGGGATTGAACGGCCACCTTTTATATACACCTTACAGACGTACACAAACAATGTCGGGCAAGCGTCTCTTAGACGTCATTCAATTGTGCAATGTCGCTGGGACAGTGGCGGCGAGGCATCTCGCCATCCGCCAACGCCAGATAGATCTATACACCCGCACTTCCTCCCTCACCAAGGGCATCAAGAGCCAGGTTGATGGCCTGTGTCTCTCGGCGCAAGCTGCAGCTGCACTAGCCAGACGATTCAATGAACCCGATCCCGAACCCTACCGTCCGTCCGAGTCAGCACCCACGACCGCATCGAGCTACGCGGAGCCGACCCCGACCACCACCACCAGCAGTGCGACATCCGATCTCTCCCCCGAGGGGGCGCGGCAAGCACAAAGACAGGCGGAAGCTCAGATTCCTTCGAGGGTGGCGGACCACAATGGGAGCGGACAGGCGAGTCCTTTGGATGTCAGTCAACAACAGGATGTGTTCTACGAACCTCCCAAGCACTCCGCAGCGGGTGACTCGGGGCTTCCCCGGATGAAGTTGCCTAAGAAAGCGAATGACACACAAATCGGTTCCGATAGAGATATCAATGCGGATGTGTTCCAATCCCCAGTGAAGACTGCCTCGGTAGATCAGGCTGTAACCACAAATACGACCGAACCGACCGAAATCCCGGAAGAGATGATGAAGGATATCTTTCACAGTCCCAGAGTCGCAAGGATGATGTCTCGGAAGCCGGCGGCGGATATGCGGTACAAGCAGGCGGGCGCAGTGCCTCGGGCAGAGCATGCGAATCAAATCGAACAGGAGAAAGAAGAAGCCCGTGCTGTGGGGGAGATGGTCGCGGAAGCGGCAGCGGCGGTATGTTGAGCAGGGTGGTTTGGTCCTGCAATGAATGAAAAGCTGACATTCCCACGCAGACAGAGCCAGAAACGGCTGCCGCCTTGAAGAACCAGAACACATACAAGATGGTTGAGTCCCGTGTCCCATCATCCCGCATCGGGAGATTATGGCAGTACGGCGGACTGGCCACTTCAATGGCGTGGGGTGCCATGGGCGAGGGTCTTCGCAGGGTCACAGGCAGTCAAGCCGAATCATCCGGGTCGCTCATGTTCAGTGCTGCGAACACGGAGCGGCTTGTAGCTAAATTGTCCAAGATGCGCGGAGCTGCCCTGAAGTTAGGACAGATGATGAGTATTCAAGGTATGCGCACCCTCCGGGCTTCGATTTTTCCAGTCTAATGAAGTTCACAGACACAAAGATGCTTCCTGAAGCTATCCATCAAGTCCTCCAACGAGTCCAAGACCGAGCAGACTACATGCCTGCCTCGCAACGCGACAAGGTGCTGACCGACAACCTTGGGCCGGACTGGCGCGATCTATTCTCTTCTTTCGACGATATTCCCATGGCCGCTGCCTCCATCGGACAGGTGCACAGTGCCGTTCTGAAACGTACCGGCCAACCCGTGGCTGTCAAGATCCAATACCCCGGGGTAGCCGACTCCATCGACTCCGACCTCAACAACCTCTCCATCCTCCTCACGGCATCCCGCCTCCTCCCCCGAGGCCTCTACCTCGACAAGACCATTGAGAACGCTCGCACCGAACTCGCCTGGGAATGCGACTACATCCGCGAAGCCGAATCGGCGAACCGCTTCCGCGAACTCCTCCGCGACGACCCCGTCTTCCTCATTCCCGAGATCATTCCCGAAGCGTCCGGCAAGCAGGTGCTCACCATGGAGCGCCTGGAGGGCATCGCCGTGACCAAGATCCAGGACTTCACGCAGGCCCAGCGCGACTGGATCGGCACGCAGATCATGCGCCTCTGCCTGCGCGAGATCACCGAGTTCCGATACATGCAGACGGACCCCAACTGGACCAACTTCCTCTACAACGCGCGCACCGACCGCCTCGAGCTGCTGGACTTCGGCGCCTCGCGCGCCTACCCGACCGAGTTTATCACCAAGTACGTCCGCACCCTCGTCGCCGCCTCCAGCAACGACCGTGACGCCTGCCGCCGCTTCTCTCTCGAGCTGGGCTACCTGACCGGCCACGAGAGCCAGGCGATGGTCGATGCCCACGTCACCTCCGTCATCACCATCGCCGAGCCCTTCATGGAGACCTCGCCCGACGTCTATGACTTCCGGGACCAGACCATCACCGACCGCGTGCGCGCGCTGATCCCCGTCATGATTCGCGAGCGGCTCACGCCGCCCCCGGAGGAGACTTATAGCCTGCATCGCAAGTTGAGCGGGGCGTTCTTGCTCTGCGCTCGGTTGGGGAGTCGGGTTCCTTGCAAGGAGTTGTTCCGGGAGGCGATTCGGAGGGCGGAGGCGAAGGGGCTGAATTGAACTGACGGGATATAGCGAGTGGTGGGGGTCCTTTAAAAACATTTCGAGGGGATTTGTCTCGTTTCTGGCTTAGCAAGGATAGAAGATCTTTTCAACTCTTGTATATTTAAGATAGATGTTGTGTATGAATATGGACATGACTTGGACACGTTCCACGATTCAATCTAGCAAGTATAGAGGCGCATAACCCGCGGACGATAAGACACGACACCGCCAAGAACCGCCGCCCATCATGGGGCATTCAAGCTGTCCAAACCATAGCCAACCTAAAACCCCTAGAATTTCTCCAGTTCAACAGGTTATTAGTTGAATGGGCGCAAACAGCCGCACCTCAACCCTCCAAAGCTACCAACCCCACCATCGTCCCCCATACATCGCCTGGTAGTACTTCTTCACCCTCTTGCAGATCCCCTTCTTCCCTTCCCAGGAGCGAAACTTCCCCTCGAGCTCGCACGCCGTCCACCGGATCTCCTCCCAGAACTCCTTCTCGACGTCGCGGCCGAACGCCCGGATGATCTCCGGCGGCCCGGTCCAGGCGCGGGTGTAGCGGCCATCGTCGCCGATGGCGGGGTTGACCTCGTGCGCGTCGAAGACGGTGGCGGGATCGAATTTCGGGTAGTTGGCGTGGATGAAGAAGGCCCGCGGGGTGCTACGGGTCGTGCTGTCATTATTGG